ATAGCACATTCATTTAAATGCCTTTGGTTAACATCTCTGCCAAGGTGTCATCTAGCCTCACTTGGATGCTTCTAATGAAGGTTCCAACAGAGAATATGCACTAAAACCCAGAGGGACTGGGTTATGAGGACTGGTGTGTGGGGGTGGTGATGGGGTGATTAAGGAACCCTGCTGCAGGGAAGAAGGAGGGTACTGAGACCTCACTTTGGGTCTGGGGAATGTGGAGACAAGGACCCAGTGTGGGATTCCTCACAGGTCAGCCTTTGTCTGAGCAGCATGCTAACGGGGTGGAGCGGATGGAAAGGGCGGATCTGAAGGAGAGAACAAACTACTTTCCTAAGCAGCCCTTTCTCCAACTGACAGCTCGGCTCTCCTACATCTTGGTCTTTCTGGATTGTGTAGCAAGGACAAAAATATTGGGTTGGGCATAATGAGACTTCAATTACTATTCTACATCTGCTAGCAATTAACAGTATGATCTTAGACAAGTTCAAAAAATTATCTGAAACTTGGAAATAGGTGAAAGAGATTATTGGGTATTCTTTCAATGCCAGGCTTGACTTTCTATTTACTAGACTGTTTAACTTCACTATAAGGCAGAGGCTCATTTGGAAATCTTTGTTCTGTAGAGATGCAAATAATTTCTTCCCAGCGAAACTAATAGCTTCAAAGTTTACAGTTTATGATCCTGTTAAACATAAACCAATTTTTGAATAGCTTATAACCCAGTAAGCCATTAAATTGCCTATCTGTATCTGGCTTCTCAAATGCTCTTTGGGCCCGTCTTAAATCTTACTGCTTTCCTCATTAATTAATGAGCTCATAAAAATCTTTGAAACCTGTTCATTTAACATCTCTCTATAAGAAACATGATTTTACTTTTTTGAAAATTAATCTTTAACAGGCAACTAACTCACTTCTGCCTCCAAGGACTTGGTTTCCTTATCTGTTAAAAGATACATTAGGACGAGAGGGTCTCTAAGGAACCCATCTAAGGTGCCTGAGCTGCCACCTGGGACCCTCTTTCCCATCTTCCCAGGGTCTCCAGAGAATCAATGTCTGACAGTGTCACTCCCTGCCACCCAGCCCCCAGCGAGGTGGTCAGATCAAAAGAGAACACGGCTCGGCTCTGCTCTGCTCGCCTGCAGCAACTCTAAGGTTGTTTAGAAGTTCCCAGGAGCCGTAATACATTGTTCTGCCCAATTTACTCCCATTTCCCTGCCCCTCCCCTCCCCAACCAGCCCCTACTTCTCACTATAAACCTCAGACATTTCTAGTTCCACATCCCCAGGCTTTTAGTTTAATTTGAGGGTAACGTATCCCCACTGAGTGCTCACCTCCTTGACATTCGTAAGTGGCAATTGGTGCCTTCTGGCCTCTGCTCAGGCAGCAGGGGTCAAATAGCTACTCTCCTTACTCCCACTGCTCTAAACCTGCTTCCGCTCTGACATCTGGGGAATCTGCCCTCCCAGACCTCCAGAGGCTTCTCTGCCTCTGCCTTCTTGGCCTGAGGGTGTTCAGCCATCATACTCCAGCTCAAAGTGCCTTGAGTTCACCAGGGCTGAAGATGTGAAGGGTAGATGGACACAGAGGACATGAAAGGCAGGTTGAAAAGGGCCGTTGGAAACATTTAGCATTTAGTGAAATCCATAGCTTTTGGCCCTGGACTATATTTAATGATCAACACGTAAAAAAACTTTTCCATTTCAGGGGATGATGATTTGTTAACAGGAGCTATTTTTTGCTGAATCTTCTCAGGTCAGATCTCTGTCTGCCTGAGAATCAGCTCAGTGCTTGCAGTGTTCATAAAATAAATATGGTTCTGTTTCTGATCCCAGCTTGGCTGCCTGGCCGGACTGATAATACTCGCTCGTGGTTTGGTGAGGCGCTGCTGAGTTCCTCTCCACACCTTTCTCTATTCAGTAAGATTCCAGTCTACTACATCAGGATTTAGGTTAATTCCCTAGCATGGGAAGGAAGTGATGCTTCCCAGGCTGCTGGCCACATCCTGGCCTCATCACTCCTCAACTATACAGCTTGTGGGAGGTGAGGGGGTAGCTGAAGTTTGGGCTCAACAAATCAAATAATATTTATTTGAGACTGAGTGGTTATCCAAGGTGCCATAGAAACAAAATCATCAGATGCTCTGATGTGGTTATCCTGGAAATGTAATTTGAAATCAATTAGCAATGAACATATTTGACACTTTGAATGGGTCTTTTAAAAACAAAAACAAAATCAAAACACCTTCCTCCTTTATATGACAAAGAGCTTGGGGATCCTCTGCTCCAGTTAAAGACAAGTTTCTCCAAGAACTTTTGGGGGCAGGGACATTTGTGTCCCTGAGAAGAAAAGCCAACTCTAAATGGACCACATACCTCTTTATAAAACCCTTGAGTCTTAGAGACACAGTTCTCTCCAGGTTCACATCCTGGCTAAGAGAAGGGCCAGGGTGAACACTCCTGCTCCACCCCAACCACAGCAGGGAGAGAGGAGATGCAGAAGGAAGACCAGGGAGAGGGGGGAGGAGGGCCCAGCCTGGCCATTCCCTCTTGTCCCTTCTCTGGACCTGCCATCTCAGTGAACCCAGGCCTTCACCTCCCCAAGGCCCAGCCCCTTAACATAATAATGACAGAAATTAGATCCACTCTTAAAACCTAAAAGATACAGAGGTGGTGATCCTCCAGCACATCCTATTTCATTCACCAGTCTGGCCCCTACAGAAACCAATCCAGTCCTGGAGGATGACATTAGACTCTCTCAAGTGCAACCAAGTAGAGGTCTCAATTACAACTGCTGTACCAGAGGTGACATTTTTGTTAGAGCAAATGCGCATTGCCTCAGATACATGGTATATGGAGACTGATCTGATGAATTTATTCTGAAACTGAGCCTCATGAATTGCCTTGACCTCAGTTTTCCCTTGCCTGACTTCTATTTCAGATCTCTCTACTCTGCTAAGTCACTTGCTATCTCTAGTCCATCAGTTTTCTAGCTTCAACCCATTTTCTGGTCCTATGTATTGATGCTTCTTTTCCCTTTTTACTGTCAGTAGGGTTTCAAGACAGATCAGAGGGAAATACATGTGTTTATCTTCTAAATTTAATTGGAAGACGTTAACCTATTTTTCAGACTGAGAAACTGAGGCCCAAGAAGGGAAAATGACTTGCCCCAGGTCACATGGCATAATCATGCTGGAAGTAAAGTCTCTAGTTCCCAGGCCAATGTTCTTTGTAAAAAAAATAAATTAAATTAAATTTAAAAAATTGCANCGGCATAATCATGCTGGAAGTAAAGTCTAGTTCCCAGGCCAATGTTCTTTGTAAAAAAAATAAATTAAATTAAATTTAAAAAATTGCAAAAAGGTATGAAAATAGGAGGAATGTAGAAATTCAGTAGGATGGTTTGGGGTGAGGGGCATTTAGAAAAGGAGAATGCTGGTGAGAACGGTCTGAGAGAAAATGAAAATAGATGTCCCCCCCCCCAAAAAAAAGGAAATATTTTTATCCTTGGGTTTCACTGTCTTCACATTCCTTCAAGATATTTATTGTCTATAGGAACCCCTCTCTGTGGTTACCACTATCCTATTTCAGACTCCCCACTATTTCTAGTCTGCACTCCATCATTTCCCAGCAGTATATAGTATTTTAAAAATATGATTCTTCTCAAATTGCCCATATTCTCATGCTTGCAGTGACTCCCATTGCCCATGGAGTAAAATCCAAATCTCTTAGTTATTTCAATAACCCAAATTTTTGAACTAGTTAGGAAGAGGGATTGATAGGGGAAAATAATGGGAAGAGATGGGAGCAACTTGGTGAAAGAAGGGACAATGTGATGGTGACAAGGAGAAAAAAAGGTGAAGATGACTCTAAGGTGATGAGCTTGGGTGACTGGGGCAAATTAGAATAGGAAAGCCAGAGGTGCCAATGAGGTTGGTTTAAAACATAGTAGTGTAGAGATGGCAGTGTGAGAGCCCTGTAGAAAGGCCTCAGGGACAGGTGGAAAGAAGGAGTGAAAGATGCAGCCACGCCCTTCAAGATCCCAGGAAACGGCAAGTTCCTACATGCTTCCCAACCCAGTGCTGGAAGAAGTGAGAGAATCCGATAGCCCCAAGGGGCATAAAAGCAAAGGCAATCTCTTTAGAGTGGGAACATTGGGTGGCTTCAAGTAGGAGAGAAGAAAGAACACCAGGGATAACATATCAATATTTTTCAATTGTAAAATGCTCTTTTTGTTGTTAAAATGGAAGCATACCTAAAATATAATAGCCTGATCCCTACAGTGCTATTGATAACTGTATTTGTTTTTTATTGTTGCTGTAACAGATTACCACAAATTTAGTGTATTAAAATAACACAAGTCTACTATCGTCTAATTCTGGAGGTCAGAAGTTTAAATCTTCCACCTCCACCCACCCCCACCCCTGAATAACTTTCTTTTTTTTTCTTTTTCTTTTTTTGTTTAAATATATCTTTATTGATTTCAGAGAGAGGAAAGGCAAGGGAGAGAGAAAGATAGAAACATCAATGATGAGAGAGTCATTGATCGGCTGCCTCCTGCACGCCCCCGACTGGGGATAGAGCCTGCAACCGGGGCATGTGCCCTGACCAGAAATTGAACCCTGATCGCCTGGATCCTAGGTCGACGCTCAACCGCTGAACCACGCCAGGCCAGGCTGAATAACTTTCTAATAACACTCATGACCCCGAGTTCTTGTGAAGATAAAGTCTAGATATTGATACCAATAAGTGAATGAGTGAATAAATGACTATAAACACCTTTTAGTCATTCAACAAATATTTATTACTGGGCTTATTCTCTGCTAGGTCATGTTTTAGAATATCTGCAAAGAAAGCCCAGGAAACCAGTTTAGTCTACAAACTTGATTTGGCTTGGTCTCGAAGCAAATTATTTGTCACATTAAAATGGCAGCTAGTTCACTGATTGCCATGAAATTAAGACAGGAAGGAGAGACAAGCCTATTTTCTTCATTCTATTTAAAACAATCTGGATGTGACGGAGATCCACAGAGAAGCAACGCGGGCACAGACCCATGCGATCAAGTTATCTTGGTCTGCCCCTCGTGTGGGCTGTGGGCTTGTCCCAGGCACCGGGGTTCTAGCCGTGGTGTGGCTGGGCCCTGACCTCTCGTACTCATAGGAATACCACGTCCCCTGAGCCTCCTCTGCCTCAGCTGACTGGTTCATGTCTTGGTTTTGGCCGAACACGTCACCAGTGTGAGGGAAGCTCCCAATCTCCATGTAAGAGAGAGGGGGTTGGGGTGATATAGTCATGCGGTTTTGTAAGTTCAGTCCACAGAAGCCCAGAGAGCATGCCTCACAATTGGCCATGTCATGGGACCCATCCAAAGGCACCTCCGGCATCACAGGTATCTCTGAGAACTTCTTGATGCCATTTCCGTAGCATTTCTCCTGAATACGGCGTACCAGGTTGTTCAAGATCCTCATGGCGCTCTCCTTGGAGAATTGAGGCTTCTCAAATTGAGCCCCAGGACACTTCTGGCACCTCTGAGCAAAGAGCCGCATAAGCACCTGGCCCTGAAACTGCCGTCGCTCCAGGTACATGTGACATAGGATCTGCACTTGGGCGGAAGCCCAACTTCTCCTGCATGAGGAACACTGGAACCTGCAGATAGAAGGAAGAAGCCCATTATTCCCTCATCTAATTATTGACCTGAGGGGTATGGTCCTGCCTTGATGAGATCCCTTTCAATTGAAAAAATGCATTTGATATTGACAATTTGACAAATAAAAATAAGAGGAGCTGTGTTTCAAATAAAGCTTTTCCCTAGGACCCACTGAGCTTTTCCTCATGCATGGTTCCAAGTCTGCATCTTGGCCAGTAAAACATCTCTGGATATCCCAAAGGGAAAACATTTCTGCTATCTGCCAGCAAATTTGGTCCTCACAAGGGTCACAAAATTTCTTGTAAGGTACAGTAATCCCCCATTATCTGTGGGGGATATATGACCTCCCCACACACAGTAAAAACCTAAAACCCTTACATGGTACTAACCCTTATATGTTTTTCCTATACATACATACTTACGATAAAGTTTAATTTCTCAGTTAGGCACAGTAAGAGATTAACAACAATAATTAATAATAAAATCGAACAATCATAACAATACTCTTCAGTAATTTTTATATTTTTCAGCCCAAACTTAGTCCTCAGTCTGTATAACCACCCTGTACTTGCAGTAAGTGGCTTGGTGTCCCTCATTCCCGGGAATCCCTTGCTGAAGTGGAAATTTGCATAAAGGGGAACCTTCTGTACCTATTTTGGAGCAGGCACTGTAATTGGTGCTTTACAGTGTTATACCATTTAATTTTTAAAGCCCCCTCTGACATAGGTGTCATTGAGCCCAATACCCAGATGAGAAAATTGAGTCGTAAGGGATACACAAATTGCTCAAGAACATACAAGGTAAGTAGTAGTAGAGTCATGTTTTAGTACCTGGCTATTTGAAACCAATCTTGTTTATTTACCTACTACACCACATCACCTCTAATGAGCAATGTGGCTAGTCTTGCACCTAGAAAAACTAACTTAGGACCTGAGACCATAATGCTTGGGTTGGAGACCCCACTCCATAGTTTACATAGTTTACATTGGGGAGACCTTGGAAAAAAGCACTTTCCTACTCAAAGCCTCAATTTATATATACATCAAATAAAAAATATTCAAGGATTATATTGTCATCGTTAAATGAGATAGTATATATGAAAGTACTTTGTAAATTACAAAATGCTTTTCAAAAATCGGTTGATATTTTTCCAAAAGTACATTGATAAGTTGTTTTTCTCATCTTAGAATGAATGTCAAATCAATTCATCTGAACAAGAGAAGCACCTTCCTATTTGGGGAAGTGTCTCAAGGAGCTCTGGCTAGTGTGGAAACACTTACATGGCTTACTGGCTTAGAAAGCAGAGCAGAATTACTGCTACATGGGCTCAAGCCAGTGCCTTGAAAACTGTTCTGCAGACCCCTAGAGGGTTCTGCCATTAAAAATATTATATATTTTATATATTCTATATATCAGATATGTTCTATAACATGTGATATATAAATATATGTTATTGAAAATGTATAATAAAGAAATTATAGCCCAGCCGGGAGTGGCTCAGCGGTTGAGTGTCGACCTAGGATCCAGGCGATGGGGGTTCGATTCCTGATCAGGGCACATGCCTGGGTTGTGGGCTTGATCAATGACTCTCTCATCATTGATGTTTCTATCTCTCTCTCTCTCCCTCTCCTTTCCTCTCTCTGAAGTCAATAAAGATATATTTTTAAAAAAATGAAATTATATATGTATATGCATTATCATATGGAAATGGAGGAGGAACCCTTGCTCTGCCTAGGAAGGCCAGACAATGCTTTACAGAGGAGGTGGCACTTGAGTTGGTCCTTAAAGGCCGAATAAGTGGGGAGGAAGAAAAGGGCCCACCAAACCAGCAGAGATCATGACAAGGGAATAGACGTCTGAAAATGCATGGCATGGCTAATCCTCCTTAAGGAATGGAACAGAGGATACCTGAGGCAGGATAGGGGCAGGCAGGGAAGCAGGACGACAGCTGAGGTGGAAAGTAGAGTGAAGGTCCCTGTGTACTATACCAAAAAAAAAAAGACTTAATTGTCCAGGTCAGCAATTCTCACCTTTCTGACATGGGCAAGGAAGTTGGTTACTGCAACCTGGAGGCTCACTGGAAGTTGAAAAGGGAGATGGCCAGTAAGAGAGAGGCATTACTTAGGGACTCCAGGCACTAGGGTTTAGATTTCTTTCTTGAAGCACCATTGCCTTCTATTATGCCCAGGCTTTCAGCTTTAAAGGGAGGCCCCAGTCCCATGCTGGTATTAATTGGGGCTAGCAGGGCTGCTATAGCCTGGGGAAGCCAGTCAGGACTGAGGGGGGAGGTAGTAGAAGGTGCTACCTAGAGGTGGTCTGGAACAAATGAGATGGTGAGGGAATAGGAAGACAGATTTATGGAACATAGAAGCATTTCTCAGGGAATTGCAGAAATATTTAGGGAGAAAACCTAATAAAAGAAGAAACTTAACTTCTTGCAGGTAAGCAAAATGGAGGCTGGAAGTCTTATTTAGATCCTAAGGAACAGGATGACCACAAAAGGATGGAGAGCCTGGTGACACATTTTTTTAACAAGCCCTCAAAACCATCAATCAATCAAAGAGGCCAGGCTGAGCCTCTTAGTCTATGAAAGCCCACTGCCAAGCAAACTCTCACGTACCTGCCAAATGCTTTCTGCTGGTATTGTTTCCACCCTAGGGCCACACAGTCTGGCTGAAGAGTCTCATCGAACGTCAGGGTCCATCTGTCCCAGAGATTCACCTCCTGGAGCAGTTTTTGAAATGTCGGCTCCCATGTCCAAATATCCAAAATCATTCTCTCTCGAGGCCTGGAATTCATGTTTAGTGTGTAGCTTTCAGTTTCACTGGATACGCAGCAAGAGATAAAAGTAGTTTCAGTTTCTATGTCCAAGCACACGTGACCATTCATTTCAAACTAAGTACAGAGAACAAGCCTTTCTTTCCAGGACAGAGGGCAGCAGAGTTTGCTAGTTTGTGAACAAGCCTTGCTAAGAGACATCTGAGTACAGAGCTCTGCTCTAGATTCTTTGGGCACCAAACAGTTAGCTTTTTAAAAACTGTTGACACTGTTACAAAAGTCCCTCATTCACCCCACTCTTTGCCCACCTCCTCCTCCTCTCCCTCTGGCCTTCGCCACACTGCTGCTGGTGTCCATAGGCTGTGCATATATATTCTTTGGCTGCTCCTTCACCTTCTTTTATCCTGTGCCCCCAACCACTCCCTTCTGACATCTGTCAGTCTGTTCCATGTATCCATGCTTCTGGTTCTTAGTTAGCTTTTATTTAATTTTTCTCTCATTTCACACCATGCAAAGCACTATGCTCAGCACTGGGACAAGTACCATTGACTAAAAAACAGTTCCGACCCCCATAGATGCTCAAAACCTTGTGCAGACCCAGGGGGTGGGTGAGGGGAACTTATGTCTGACCCTCTCTCATGCACTCTGTAAACCCTCACCGCAGTCCTCTGAGGAGGATTATTACTGGTATTTTGCAGGTGAGCATCACAGAGAGCTGGGGTACCTTGCTCAAAGCTATCCAGCTAGTAAGCAGCATAGGTGACCCTAAAACATGCAATGTCTCTATCGACCTCCTTCCCTGAGGAGCAGCTGAAAATGGTGTCCACAGTCCAGGCTGGCTCTCTGGAGCCAGCGTTAGAGGGACCTTCTTGAAACCTTTATCTCATGGTTTGGTCTAGTGAAATCTCCTAGGTCCCAGGGCAGGATGCCAGGCTGAATGAAAGGATTATTTAACTCTGCCACTCACTATGTGAACTATCTTGAGGGCAGTATACAATCACATGTGGGAGTCATATTTTGGTGGCAAGATAGAATCCTCATTCATGGGGTGAGGGATTGGAACTAGAGGACCTTACAGTTGTTTCTAACCCAAAAAGTCTGAGATTCTAGTAAATAAGCTCCATCCCTCTGAAGTTTAAATGAGGGAGATAAGACAAGCAGGACACTTATGTCCTTGGAAGCCCTACTACAGTTATTGTGTCCCAGATATGATCGGCCTGTCTTCTCAGCTCTCTAGACTGCAACATGCTCTGTGTGGGAGGCAGAAACACTTCACCCTTCTTCTTTCCCTCCCAGGATAGTCTCTTCTATACAAATTCTCACTGCTTTCATAACTATACACATTGAGGGCATCTATGTCTATACAGACAATTATAGGAACTTGGAATTGGACCCACAGAATATCAGAACTGAAAGCCCTTAGCGATCAACTTATTCTCTTTTTTCTGATTATTATATGTAAGAAAACTGAGACCCAGAGGAAAGAGCACTCCTGCCTAAAGTTACACAGCAAATTAGTGCCAATACTGGATCAGAACCCAGACATCTCATTTCCCAGCACTGAGTTCTGCTCACCTGCCCCAACCATACATAGGCCCTTTCCCTTACTGTTTCTTCTACTTTCTGCTGGATATAAGACCCCAAGGCCATTTTTTTTATCCTTTATCTTCAGAGCATGACCACATACCCTGCCTCCTGACTCCTCAAGTGGTCATTTTTTCCCAAAATGTTGCCTTGAGTGTCCCCTGCCTATTGCCCTCGGCCTCTGCTTTGTGTATTTCCTTTAACACACAACTGCTTCAGGCCAGCATGGTCCAATGGACAGGGAAGCGGGGAGACTATGCGTATAATTTCCGATTTGAGATTTGAGGGCTGGAAGAAACCCATTACCTTCCCCAGCAGTACAAAGAAAAAGAAGAAAAGGAAACTATGGCCCTTTTAGAACCTCATGACCCACTGTAGCCCACTTGTTCCTTTGGACTGAGGCCTTGTGACTCCAGTATAATAGAATCATGGATTTGCTCTTTTGGAAGAGACCTGAGATAGCTTCTTCTGACCCCTCCTCCCATGTCACTGAAAACCAAGGTGTGGAAATGACTTGCCCAATCACACAGTGTGAGAGTGGTGACCTCTAGGTTTTCACCAGTGGTTGGTGACTTATCATAGGCTGGTTAAAGAGTTCCTGAAAAGACAGTAGGACTATAGGAAGAGTCCCCCAAAACAACAAAGCACGGGTCAATTCTGTAAGGGGGCTATTGGAAAATTTAGATTTTCAGCAGTTCAGAGCTGGAATGATTCTATATGGTTCATCTAATCCTGAAATGGCAAGTGATGTTTCTTCTTGTTCTTGGCCCAAGAATGACCTAGCTAATCAATGCTTGAACCCCTCTCTCTGGGTCCCGGTGTAACTTCAGAATCCCTTTCATCACAGTTCTGGATAGCCACTTCCAAGCAATTGGTAAATAAAACATTTTTCTTCTTCTATTTTTTTTCCCCATTCCTGCAGTAGTCCAGCTCCCATATTTTACAAGTTGCAGAAACCAAAGCCAAGACAAATTTGCAATAACTAGAGCTAAAAAGTCCAGTTTCGTAATCTTAGGTATGTGCCCATTTTCAGAATATCACATGACCTTTCACAAATAAGTCTAGCACAGAGCTTAACACAAACATGTTTTTCTAGGGGATATTTAGGCTTGGGAATGAAGAAAGGTAGGCATGAATGATAGAGATTGAGGGGGTGAGACTGAAAGAGGAGGTGGAGGTTCTGTCTATGATGCTCTCCACTTGATAATTTATTTCTATAGTTAAGTAGCTTGGAGGTGGTAAAAAACGGAGGAACTTGAATTGATTTAAGGAGAGAAGCAAGAAATAAGAAATGTAGTCCTTAATGTAGCAAGAATTTTACTTACTTTTTTTTTTTTAATTTTTTTTTTTTTCTAAATATATCTTTATTGATTTCAGGGAGAGGAAAGGAGAGGGAGAGAGAGATAGAAACATCAATGATGAGAGAGTCACTGATTGAGCCCGCAACCCGGGCATGTGCCCTGACAGGGAATCGAACCCCGATCGCCTGGATCCCAGGTCGACGCTCAACCGCTGAGCCACGCCCGGCAGGGCAAGAATTTTACTTACATTTTAAACATCTCTTCAACAGAAAATTTCAAGGTGATTGATTTGGAAAACAATGAGGCTGGATGATTCCTAACCTAAGTCCATTCCTCCCACTTCAAGTTTTCAGAGTAGGAGAAACAAATCCTGGACTAGGAGTCCCTGTTGTGTTGGTGATGTCAGACATACCTTCATCTCCCAGACTCTGAGGTAACCTGTCTAATCAGTGGCAGAGCCAGGACTCAAATTTTTGATGCCACACTAGATCCTATGAAAACATAGGCATGTCTAAAGAAGGAATGGGTTGCTAATGGTAGAAAAACAGGCAAGAGTCACAGGGAGCTATTTTGGGTAATTTTAGTGGGGGTCTTCATGCTGTTCCCCTAAAGTTGTGCTCTCTGGGTTGAGTCCCCTGAGCTCATCAGAAGAGCCACCGTCCAGTTAGAACTACCTCTCATCATAAGGTGAGCCTAGGGGAGAAGGGGAGTGTTGAGATCACAGCATTCTGTAATGAAGGGGCACAGTATCGGTGGCCCTATCCTGTGCAGTACAGATAATCACAACTACTTACAGCAGGGAACAGTAAAGTTAAGGGAAAGCAGAATTAGATAGTTGTCTTAAGAAATATAAAAAAACCAAGGGATTCTGGTCAAGAGGGCAAAGTAGGTAGAGACTGTACTCACCTCCTCCCATGAACACACCAAAATTACAACTAAATTATAGAACAGTCAACCTGGATAACCATGTGAAGACTAGCTTAACAGATGTCCTTTAACTTAGGATATAAAGAAGAAGCCATGTTGAGGCTGGTAGAAGAGGCAGAGATGCAAAAGAGACTGGCCCCATACCCACATGCGGCGGTTAAGAATCTGGACGGATATCTCAGCTGCAGAGGTCCCACTGAGGAGCAAGGAGCCTCATCCCCACGCCAGGCTCCTCAGCCTGGAACACCGGTGCCAGGAAGAGGATCCCACATAACATCTGGCTGTGAAAATCATCAGGGATTCCTGTCTGTCCAGGTGAGGCGGGGAGACAGAAGTCTGCTGGAAACCCAGGCTTCCTCTTAAAGGGCCAGTACACACAGTTTTGCTCTCAGGCACTCACTTTGGGTTCTGGAGGAGGGATGGTGGCTGGTGGGGGTTAGGGATGCCAGAGACATACAGAGAAAGACTGAGTTGTGCGGTTTCAACGCAAGGGCTTGAGAGATGGCTGCCACTGTCCGTCTATTGAGTCCCCCCACACAAGTTGACTGGAGCCATTTTTCCTGTGTTGAGCCCTCCCCCTACGCAGCCAAATATAAACTTGCATTAGCCTGGTGAACTCTATTAGCTCCACACTGAGGGCTCCTTGAGACCCTACCCACCGACTTGCCCACGGCAGAGGCTCTTTCAATAGTGATCAGCCTGGGCCCATGTTAGAGTCTTTCTTAAAAAACTCCAGTCAAGCTTGATGGATGCCAACCATACAGGCCAGAACTGAACGCGCCCACCAGACAGCCAAACCTGATTCTGCATTAGCCTGGAGAACTCCATTAGCTCCATGATCACGACTCCCTGAGATCCTGCTTCACCCAACTCATGTTCCACCCAAGGCTCTTTCCATATGGGCAGCTGGCAAGTGGAGACAAGTTTGACTTGCCTCAGGCCTGAAACTGAAGACAATGAACTTTGTTTCCCAATGTAACCCTTCCTACAGGCATCCAGGCCCAGCGCAGGTGGCTACCAACTGTGGTTTGCTTTGTAGTTCCTGGGATGCAATACGCTACATTAACAAAATAAAGGATAAAAGTCATATGATCATATCAACAGATACATAAAAGCATTTGACAAAATCCAGTACCCATCTATAATAAAAATTCTCAGCAAAGTGGGAATAGAGTAAACATACCTCAATATAATAAAAGCCATATATAT